CCAGTTGGGTTTATCGCGAGCTGCGTTTTGTTTGCTCGAATTCCAAGTCCGCTCGCGCTTTGCCACGTTTATCCGTCGATCACGAATTGTTAGAGAACAACAAAATTGGATCACCCTAGCCATCACTGGAAAAAAATCACATTGGATCTAGAGTCCAGACTCTTAAAAACATCGACAAGAAAAAGCACTCTTGATTCAATCAGAATTTAGCTTAAATCAAGAACCAAGCCTCTTAATTTGAGCGGATTTCCTTTTGATTTAAGCTTAAATCCGATTGAATCAAGAGTATTTTTTCTTGTCAATGTTTTCAAGAGTCTGGACTCTAGATCCAATGTGTTTTTTCCAGTGAGCGATTTTCCTGTCAGGAAATTGTCAGGGAAATCGAAGAACACGGATTTTCTGGAAAACGTTTCGCGAATTTTACTCCTGCGGAAATTTCTACCAGAATTTCTGCAGCTGTATTTTAAATGTTAACAATGCGGCAAAAATATCTCGCATAAGTTTAGGCGTCGTATATTTTGCGCTATTTAGGTATTACATTACATTCCTAAAACATGAAAAAAATTCTTACTAACACCTCCTCAGTTCAAACGTGTCGAAAAGTAAGGAAGTTTTTCTTTTTTGTCAGGGAAAAGTTAGGAAATTATTTTTTCCGCCCGTCAGGGAATTTTGTATTTTTCCGCGGTTTTTCGTCCGTTCTTGTCAGGGAAATCAGGGAATTTTTTGTTGAAAATTGCCAGACATCGTGCACTGAAAAGACCGGACAAATGTCACATCAGAAAATGGCACCATTCAATAGAAATTCATATGCTACCCCAAAGAGATGACTCATGATTGATACATTCAGGTTGATGTTATTTTTTGTCTAGTATTTTCTTTCACAGTTTTACCCTCTTAAGGTGATTCGATGGACGCCATATTTTGTGTCAGAACGGCATTCGATATATCGCATCAATTGGTTCCATTCTTTCAGCTACTCGTCATTTTTCTCAAATTTTGAGATCGCAATTCTGTTGTCAGGGGACTAAAGTACTCACTTACGAATTTTAAAAAAGAAATTCAACGTAATAAAGGCGTGGTTTTTTCAGAGAGAAAACATCACATTCGATACTGATATCGGAACTGCAATCGAATGCGATGTTTTCTCTCTAAAAAAAACCACGCCTGTATTACGTTGAATTTCTTTGTTAAAATTGGTAAGTGAGTGCTTTAGTCTCCCGAAAACAGAATTGCGATCTCAAAATCGGAGAAAAATGACGACTAACTGAAAAAATGGAACCAATTGATGCGATATATCGCATGCCATTCTGACACAAAATATGGCGTCCATTGAATCACCTTAAAGTACCTGCAGCGAGAAATAAATTTAAAGTATTCTCGTCAAAAACATTGGATTTTCTACTCGTAGTACTATATACAGTTCTAGTTCTATGTCGGCTGTATCCTCAGCATGCTTTTATTCAAAAATGAATGTGTGACGAAAGCTGTAGATTTGACAACGGTCGTATTTCGTGACACCACTAATTTATTTTTCACACCACCTCAATGTCAGCAACTGGACCGTGCTTTAAGCGTCTCGACGCTTATCAGCAATGAAGTAATGGGTTGTGACTCGTAATGATTGCATATCAGTGGCGCAATCCCACGAAATATGTGTGCAATTTTATCGAGCGTTATACTTTGAGTCAACTTTCGTCTCATTTTTTGCGTCACCCAGTGACATACTAACCGATTGTTTATTGGGATTTAAATGGTTTTATCGTATGTTTCCGTCATAGAATGTCGCGTTGGAAACGATGGAAGTAAGATCGAGTAACAAGTTCACAAGTCAACTCGATATCATTGATTGCAATTTTAAGATAAACCTCGGATGAAACAGCCTAGTTAGTTAGTTAGTATAATTTTAAGACATTCAGCGTCTCAGGCTATAAACGGCTTTACAGATAATTTTGAAAATAGGAGTTTATACGAAAATTTAGATTTTTAAATTAAGAGAGGTGAAGAGTTTTAGAATTTTGGTGGGTGTTATTTTTGAGAATTTCGAGATAAACATGTGAGTTCAACATCTACTGTACTTGGAAGCTTGTGCCAGAAGTTAAGTCTAAACTTGAAAAAATGGAGGCGAAAAGTTAAAACTTTTTACGTACTCTCAATAGTTAATTCTTCCATTTGTTTTTAAAATTCACTCAATTCCCGATGTCCTTTCAGATTTTACAATACGCTTAATAGTAGAACTAAGCAATGATAGAAGTTTTTGCATTGTCAAGAAAAACTTGGAAAAGTCCGGAACTTTTTCTGCGGGATTTTGAAATTGTTTCTCTAGGTACCCCCAAAACATTGCGTTTTTTGAATGTCAAGGGATTTCTTGCTCAAAATCTTCTGGAGGAAGACGTAGAAATTACATGATAAGAAAGCTGGTAATTTTATGTTAGAAACTCTGATGAGTCAGGGGTTTTCAAAATCCGAGAAAACTTGTCCCCTGCTCAATGATGACCTCCACCTTTAAAGCTGTCATTCTGTCGGCTTTAATTTTTGATACTGCAAGTAAATATATTTTTAAGCATTTCGACCGTTTCGTACCATCAGTCGAGTTTCAACTCGAAACTTCATCGAGGAAACGTGTCAAGGAATCATTTTGACCAAACTTTTATAACCGCCGCTCGCAACGATCACAGGTGACGAGAGAAAACAAGTAAAAATGTTGAGTTGGATGATAGATAAACGTGCCACATGCGTCGGGGTTAATTAGTCCACGGGACGAACTCTAGTTTGGCGCGGTAAACGCCGGGAGTCGATGCATTTATTCATCAGGTCCCGTTTGTTCTTCAATTAATTGAAACGTCATCGACAGTGATAGCTTTGCCGAGCTTTTTATTTTTGAAGCTTCGCTTAATTTCCGCCGATCCCATCTTGATTCCCGGCGGAGGTTGCCGAAATGTGCGCATTCGTTTATCTTGTGGGTTGGTTTCTGTGGAGAATTTTCACGAATCAATTTTATTGCTTCGTCTAGAAGTGCTTAAGAAGTTGAGTTCGCAGTAATATTCTTAAAGTTTTTCTGACGTGGGAAGTTGTACGAAAATAGATTATAAGTGAAAAAAATGCACCGCCTTGTGACGTCTACCTGGCGTAATTTCCCATTTAAACACATGTATTTCATCAGATTAGGTTTTTTTTTTTTTTTTTTTNTTTTTTTTTTTTTTTTTTTTTTTTTTTTTTTTTTTTTTTTTTTTTTTTTTATATATTCCCTCCAATAATTGTTCAATTTAGAAACCCGGTCAATTCACTTTTCAGACGCACGCCTGCCTCTCTATTTTACTATTAGGTAGCAAATTTAAGAAAAAAATATAATCTCAGGGATTTTTTTAAACAGGTTAAAAGATGAGTGAGTCAGAAGATCTAATTGTGGAAGCCTTTTTTTCAGGTGAAGGGAGTGTTTTTTTCTAAATACACCTATGAACAGTAGGTATGAAGAAGTAATATATGTATGTTGGTTATAACTTCGAATTTTTTAGTTCGCATAATGTGTATCGCAAAGACACTACCAACAGTAGCTCCCTCAAACATACCCACAACTTTGAACAAGTGCCACTTCAAATCTAAAATTTTTAATTTTATGGGTTTTTAGTGTTCTGCACTGGAAAAAAAACCCATTGGATCTAGAGTCCAGACTCTTAAAAACACCGAAAAGAAAAAATACTCTCGATTCAATCGGATTTTTGCTTAAATCAAGAACCCAGCCTCTTAATTTGAGCGAATTTCCTTTTAATTCAAGCAAAAATCTGATTGAATCAAGAGTATTTTTTCTTGTCAATGTTTTCAAGAGCCTGGACTCTAGATCCAATTTGTTTTTTTTTTTCCTGTGTGGTTTTCTGAAAATGGGAGTTTTGCCTTATTTTCGCTCCCTTGTGTTTAGATAGAGTGTATTCGTGCACCATGGTCATAGATTTGCGCTATTTTGCATACCTGTATTTTAAATGATTTTATTTTAACACGCGCGGAAGGAAATTCGAATTCGAAAAGTCGGCAGCACGGTGCAATCAATACAGGAAGCATGCTTTGTCAAATTCACCCGCCGACAAAATTGGGCGGTCTATATCCAAACTAATGGATCGTTAGACCAAGGATTGTTCGTGAAGTCGGGTTTATCGGCGGCGATTATGCGTTGATTTAATTATTCTTGGTTTGACCTCCTTCGCTCTCACCGATATAATCGTCTGCTCGAGACTTGTGAAAGGATGGTGGGATCGAATTTTGTGGAGTCTGTTTAATTTCAGATTTAGAGCCGATTTTGAAAGGAGTTATCACTGTTTATTAACACTGTCAGAGGCAGTGCGCAGTTGCGCACTAACCTAGTCATATGCGTATTTTAACCTGAAATATTGCGTGAACCGTCGTTCCTCTCACAAAAGAACGTAACTACATTGCAATGTTGCCAAATTTATCCCCAAAGTGTGTCTACAAGTCCGGAATTTCCGGAAATAGCACTGTTTTTTTAAGGGCGGTCCGGAAGTACTGAAAAAGTGCGGAAATTCCTCAAGAAGGTCCTGAATTTTTTGTGTGATTTTTGTCGCAAATTGAGCAAGAAATTCAACTTATTTCAATTTTTCGAATTTCGTCAAAAACAGAGACACTGAAAAAGTACTGAATTTTCCTTTTCGTACTGAATTTCTTGAGAAGGTATTGAGAGTACTGTAAAAGTACTGATTTTTGACCAGCCTGTTTTGGTAGACACCCTGCCGCCAAATTGCATTTTTACCGAGAAAATTTTGGAAATTTCTAACTGAAAATGTCACCAATTTTTTTTTTCGGATCTTTCGCCAGATTCAGGAAAATTTTAGAAGGAACTTAACTGGTATATTTTTCTAAAAAATTGAATTTTTCAAGCCAATTTTACAGGAGTTACGATCCTTCGTGCGGGAAATGACGAAAAGTGTCTTCCCGTCAAGAGACGCTTTTTGGAGTTTACACTTGAGTTTAACGTATTTTCTCTTTTTTTCCAGGCTGGGGATAAAATATGGTGGCCAGTGTTTACTTCCTGCTGCTCACCTTGGTGTCCATCGCCTCCACATTAGCTCGGAATTTCGGTAAGTCGAATTTTCAGTAAGAGATAAGTTGCAAAAGCTAGAATTAATGGCGAAGCGTGAATTATCGATTATCGATCTTTCCCCATTTGCGGCTATGCTAAGGAGTCGATTAGTAAAGTGTTCGTTGCGAACACCCTATTAATCGATCCTTTTCCATAGGTTTAAATTGCAGATCAATCGATGTATCGCAAAGCATGCCACGCCACTACCGCTAGGCCGTTCGCACGCAGCGTCCTGGGCCATATTCCAATGTCTCTCGGAGTTATTAGCGCAGACTAGAGAACTCGACGGTCCTCAGCCGTAAGAACGTATCTCTATCTTAACCCTTGAGCCCTGTTTTCCGTATACCTACACGTTTCCCGGGGCTCACGTTAAAACGGTGATACGTTCTCACGTCGAAGGAGCCGCGAGCTCACGACCAAGCGCAGGGACATAAACACTCTCTCCTCTCCTCCCACCGCNGCGGGCAGGAAACTCGAAACGCCGCCGTTGCATTTTATTGCACTTATTTCATCCGTTTTCCCCTCCCCCCCCCCTCCGGTTTCAGTCCGCGGGAAACACGAGTATCTGTATTCGTATAGAATGTCGAGTGCGAATTCTTTCGGGGCCCGGGTCGGGAAGAGGCCCGTTCTGCTGTGCCAAGGAAAAACGCCGTATGAACATTCGAGAGTTGCCAAATTTCCTTTCATAAAACTTTGATTTTTGAGGAAAATTATGAATATTTTTGCTTGAAATCTCTAGGGATTTTGGGTAAAATTGCGAACCTAATTACGTAAAAAATTGGAGGAAACTCATAACTTAACCAAGAAATTCGTGTTTATCGAAGGAAATTTGGCAACACCGAATGAGCCGTCAGGCACTGCCGAATTTCTTTTAGTAAATCACGAATATTCGGGAAAATTTGGAAATACATGTCCTCCAATTTTTCGGATTGTTTTGTTCGCAATTTCACCTTATGTTCGTGGAAATTTCGAGGAAAATTTCCATAGCTCACCTCAAAAAATGAACATTTTATCGAAGAGAATTTGGCAACTCTCGAATGTTCACACGGCGTTTTTCCTTTATACGGCAGCGTTTCATGGTTTGCTTGCTCGTTGGAAGAAGGGGCCCCGCCGAGGCGAGTGATGACGTTTCTGTTGACCGAGATTCTCAAATTTTAATGCTCCTTACACGAGATCACTTGGGAGCTAAGATTTGCCTTGAAATTCCAGTTTAATTCATGCTTAAAATGTCAACGTTTCAAAATACTTCGCAAGTTTCGTGAAAAATAGCCTTACATTCAGTTTCTCTATGCTTCATGGAATTTCTTGGAAAAATTTCATGAAAATTTGAGTGAAATTTCAAATTATTATTGTTCAGCTCAGATGTCAAGAAACGTAAGTACCTCCTTTCATGGATAATACGCATGTTTCCAATTAATTTTGGTCGCACCGCAACTGAAATTGGGATAGCGCCGCAAAAGTTGGGTTAGTAACCTAATTTATTGGGGTGCCTCTACAATTAATTCGAAATGCCCGTATCATCCAATAACCCCTACATGTCCACCTTGCCAACCATCGCGGGAGGGACGAAGGCTAAAATCGCTGCAACACTGGGACGACGCGTCATTATTTATGACTCCCTTATAATTTTCATCATAAAATACAAAAATAAGTACCCTAAAAGCTACGATTTAGAACCAGGCGCCGTGGTTTTTTTCGGTAAAAAGAAAAAAAGGAAAATAGGACAGAATATAATGTCGCGACGAAATTTCCCGTGATTTCAATTACAATCGTTCTTAAATTTCTTGTACATTTTTAAGAGAATCTGTGCGCCGACTTTTAAAAAATATTGATTCAAATTGAAGCAGTAACAATGGTTTGCAACGTTGCGATCGAGGTAAATACGCTCCTTTTCGCGTGGAACCATCGATATTTGAGTTCGTTTACGGCAGGCGTGACATACAACTATTTGACCACGGATGTAAGCATATTGCAGCTTCGCCGGATTGAAGGCGCGTCAAACTTCGAAGATGTCTTGTCCGCCCTGCCAACCCTCGCGGGCGGGACGAAGGCTAAAATCGCTGCAACACTGGGATGCGTCATTATTTATGACTCCCTTATAATTTTCACCATAAAACACAAAAATAAGTATCCTAAAAGCTACGATTTAGAATCAGGAGCCGTGGTTTTTTTTTCGGTGAAAAGATAAAAAGGAAAATAGGACAGAATATAATATCGCGACGAAATATCCCGTGATTTCAATTAAAATCGTTCTAAAAATTCTTGTAAATTTTCAGAGAATCTCTGCGCCGACTTTTAAAAAATATTGATTGAAATTGAAGCATTAACAATGGTTCGCAACGTTGCGATCGAGGTAAATACGCTCCTTTTCGCGTGGAACCATCGATATTTGAGTTCGTTTACGGCAGGCGTGACATACAACTATTTCACCATGGATGTAAGCATGTTGCAGCTTCGCCGGATTGAAGGCGCGTCCAACTGCGAAGATGTCTTGTCCGGCCTACCTCTTTTATTCCGTGTGAAAACAATACTTAAAGTCTTTATCCAAGCCGGCGTTCGGTCCTCGATCCTAGCAAATTTTTCCGAACCGCTGATATTAGGTACATGCCTCTCCAGTTCTATCGGAAGATACTCTGCAAGTGCATCACTTAACGTCTACGAGTTTGCTCTTCCTTGGATCGACCTAGTATCAGTTCCATTTCGTCACTTAGTACCGATGCATAAAAACATGAGATGGGTGAGATTCCTCAACCATACTTCGTACCCGCGGGTGTAAAAGGAAAAATTCCTTCCATGCGCCGGCAACCAACCTCGCAACTTGCATTGCGTGCCCGGAACATTCTTGGTGCATGCTACAGTGTCACCGTGTTTATTAGATGAGGACTGAATCATTTTTTTTTTTTTGTCGCCTTTTACATCGATATCACAAGACATGCGTGCCTCCTGTTACTATGTAAGCGGGCTCGCTGAAATTGCCGTCGGACTTCATTTCCCCAGGCCGTACAGTGGATCGAGTCGATTACAGAGGTCGGACAAGAAATTTTAGACTAAAACTGCAAATTTTTATGTTTATTTTGTCACATCTTAAATTTTAAGAGGTGCTTTTGGAAGGTAGTGTCACGAGGAAACCAATGGAAACACTTTTAGGGCCTTAAAGTTTTGTATAAACGGAGTTATAAGCGTTTAAAAATTCTGAATTTTGTCCGACCTCTCTTATTGGCTGGATCCACTGTGCGCTGCCGGCTGAGTATCCTGTTTCCCGAGGCTCGAGGGTCGTCAAAGTGACCGGTGATTAAAGATTCTTGCGATTTCTGCAGTCTGTCAACGGGATATGAATGTTGTTTCTTGTGAATTCTTTTTTTTTTTCTCGGTGCAGTTTTAGTTTAGCGTCAGAATCATTTTACAAGGAGAGTGGTTTCGAATTCTAAGTAGTTGAAATGTACCGAAAATTTGCAAAATGAAGGGTGATGTATGCCACCACGCTCGACTGTTCTCTCATTGGTCGCTCCTTCATCGAGAAAAAGTAACAATTTTTTGGAACCAAGTTCCAAATGGTATCTCAAACAAGATATGCCTTTTAATTTTAAAAAAATATGGAAATTTCAAGAAATAATCACCGGGAAAAGTCTCTTGGATCCGAAGTCCAGACTTCTAAAAAATTTGAACCAAACTCATATGATTCAATTGGGTTTTTCGATCGGAATTGGAAGGGGGAGGGGTGTAGACCCCACAGACTAGAGGGGTATAGACTTTTCAGAATGGTCTCACTGGAAAAAAATTTTCTTGAAATATTATTTTGACTTCAAGCGTCGTTCTTGTCAAAAAATCCGGTTTGTTTTAAAACTTAAACTGAACGTTTGCAAATCGACGCATTTTAACCCATGTAGGTAATTGATGGTGAGCTGAATTCGCACGAATTTAACCGAAAAAACCCCTATCTTATAGTCAAGAAACGACGCTTTAATGTCAACATAATCTCTAAAGAAATTTTCTTTTTTCAGTGCTCCCTCCACGACCGGAAGAATTTCCCAAAAAACGTCATTTCTGGTGATTTTAAGACCCCAGCTGCATTTCCTCCCTTTTTACGAGCGCGTTTAATGTCTGTCTTCGCCACTGCTCCTCGTACTGGAATGGGAATCGAGCAAATTTTTCCTCGCAACCGAGTGGCTCCGATGATCGGCTCCAGAGCCGTCAAAAGTGGCGCGGGGTGATTAAAGATTCCGCCGGGTTTACGACTGCCTTTAGCCGTAACAGCGGCCGTTTGACGGTGAGCGGCCTCGGCCGGACGTCATCGATGTTTTATTTGGCGAGCTTAATCCGACAGTGTGAACCGGCCCCAAGAATCCTCGCGTTACGGCCGTAACTGCATGTTGCAGCTCGTCAAAACGACGCGCACAGGGTGATTAACAATTCTCGCCGGCCTTTGCAGCGTTGCCTCGTCGTGAGGAGTTGATAGGTTTTCCTCCGCGAGCTGGTACAGAGGTGCCAAATTTCCATACCATCATACAGAGTGTCACCTACACTGGAAGAAAAATACATTGGATCTAGAGTCCTGACTCTTAAAAACATCGACAAGAAAAAATACTCTTGATTCAATCGGATTTTTGCTTAAATCAAGAACCAAGCCTCTTAATTTGAGCGGATTTTCTTTTGATTCAAGCATAAATCTGATTGAATCAAGAGTATTTTTTCTTGTCGATATTTTTAAGAGTCTAGACTCTAGATCCAATGTGTTTTTTTTTTTTTTTTTTAAGTGTATCAGGAAAAACTGAGGCACTTGGAAATTCGATGTTATCAGGAAAATATAAGGACATTGTTTATGGATCTGGAAATTCTGATCGTCTCAAGCATTTTTCAAACATGTGGTTCGATTCATCATGTATGTTGATCTTGTAAATAAAGATAGTCTTAATTTCTTCCCGCAAAAAATCAGAAAATCTCGTCTTGAATATCAGTAAAAATCCAAAATTAAAGTTTAGCAGACTCAATTGCATGATA